GCTGGGGCAGCCGCAGAGATGAGCAGGCAGGCGTAGGAGTCCCCAGGCCTCTCCTCCTCTCACAGGGGACAACCCAGGAAGGTGTCCTTTCTCTACTCACACGTCTATGGCTGGGACTCTCCAGCTCAACTCAGCCAGCCCCACACAAGAAGCCTCCTCTTAGACCTCCCAAGTGGCACCGAGCAAGCCAGCATTAAGAATCAAGGCAAAGGACAGCCTGTAATCATGTGAGGGGGAATGGAGGAGTCTGTCCCCCAGCTGGACCCGAGCTCTTCCAGATCTGTCTCTTCTTTGCTTCACACTTCTGGGTTCCTTCCAGGGACTTTGGAAGCCAAGCCACTGTAGATGCTGGGACATTTCTCCACCATCGCCCTCACTGCCTCTTGCTGAAATGTCCTTCAGTTCTCAGTGCGTCTCCCTGGCAGCCTATGAGCAGAGAGCGCAAATAGTTCAGCCGACTGTGGGGAAGCACGGCATGCAGCAGGAACTCAGAACTGTTTATTGCACTAACAGATGAAATTTTCACTTCCTGTTTCTAGGTAATCCTTTGCCTCATTTACTCCAAAGCCACACCAGGATGGAAAGTGGCTTGGTGTACATAGACACCAAGCGGACACATCATCTTTGTGATTCTCTTTTTCCAAGGAAGATCAGAAACTTTCATTCTAGAAGGGCCCTCAGTGGAGGGCTTGTGACTTTGGAGACAGGAAGGACATTCAGAAAACCAGAATTTACTGTGGATAATTTCTTAATGTCTTAGTTAGATTAGCAGCTCTGAGTTCATGAGGACACAGCCCTGCTTGGCTCAGACGACAAAGCCCAGTTGGGCAAAGGCAGGAAGCGAGGGCCAGGGATTGGTGGCCGGGCTGCTGAAGCAGACAGGCCTTCCAGCACAGCCTGCCCTGGGTGGGGGTGGGGGGCCCACGATGAGACTACTGCACTTTCAGCTAGAGATCCAAGAGGCCAGCAGGTGTTTCTGTGGCCACTGGAAAATGCTGGGGAAGGGAAGGTTAGGAGATGACAGGGTGAGGGGCAGAGGAGACAGCTGACTTTCCTCCAAGCAGGGAAAAGAGTAAGCTCAATAAATATCAGTAGTTTTTAAAAATATCAGCTACTGGCCCTTGGTCGTTTCAGACAAAGTCTTCACCAGGGCCCCAAGAGCAAGTAGGTTCTCATTTAAGTGGTGGAGAAGTCCACTCCAAGGGTCCCACCATGGGCTACTTCAAGCTAGCCTCACATTACGAAAAAGGGGAAGACATGGCTAGAGCAGTATGCAGCTCCACAGACCTGGCAGGGCAGTTTGGGACATCTAGGATCTGGTTCCCATTCCCTAACCTGGTTAGTCAGGAGCCTTATCACACTTGGGCCCCTCTCTGTAGCACCTCACCAGGAGCACTGGGACTCTAGTATTTTGCTCCAAGTTAGAAGCCTGGAGTTCTAAGGCCATTCTTGCCTACCTGGGTCCAATTTTAAAGACACCCAAGGCCACTTTAATCAGAGAAAGACAGAAAGATGAGGAGGGAGGAAAAGAGGGAAGAAAGGAAGAAGAGAGGAGAGACAGAGGAGAGAGAGACAGAGAGACAGACAGAGAGGGAGAGAGCTGTGTGACAGAAGTCAATTCCCTAGGAAAGACCTCAGGAGGAAATTGCCTGTCAAATAATTTCAAGGAAATGGCATTTCAACAAGCAGCAAATGAGGTTTTCCTCCCACTTCCTGCCATCCGCCTCCATTTCTCTTTTCAATTTCTCCTCCATCCCTTGGTTCATTTCCCTGGCCAGAAAGGTCTCTTCCATGCTCTCCCCTAGGGTCAGCTGAGCGCTGCCTCCTTGATGATGCTGCGTTAGGAAATTACAGAAACCCAAAATCTCAGATGATTCCAAATTCTTCTATGTCTCCCCCAGGACCTGGCTCTGGACATGACTCTACCAGTAGTCAGCACCAATAGTCAGCAGGAAGAGCAGCGGCTGATCAGACCACGGCAAGCATGCAGACAGAGCGCAGAGTCCTCTCATTCCAGCCTCACTACACATGTCCCTACCCCAGACTCTGCCAATTTTTATGTGACTCTGGAGGCTTACCCATTCTGAGTCTTTATTTCCTCATCTGAGGCAAAACGGGGTGAACATGTTTTTAGTCCTGTGGTTCCATCACCTCCTGTGCTTGGATGCACTCAAATGGGCTTGTGTGAAGCCACATACAGATAGCTACCATCCTGTGGGCATGGCGCTGAGGTCCACCCAGGGCTTACGTGCAGAAGTAGGGCTGGGTACTGGAAGGGTGACAAGAGAGCCAGCCCTGGCACAGGAGCGAGTGGAGGGGATGATGCTGGGGCAGCCACTTAGGGCACATGATACTCTTCCTCCAGCCTCAGTGTCCCTGTGCTTGGAAGTAAAGCTTATCCAGGGTCAAGTAGACTCACACTCTCTCCTTTTGAGATAACAAAGATAGGACCACTGACAGGCCCGCTATGGAGGCTCTTGCTCCAAGGCCTTGCTTATCTCCTACAGTACAAATGGGCAGAGCTTCCCAGAGGCCCGAGGCTTCCAAGGAACTCTTTGCTAACTAATCACCTATTCTGCACTGCTCAGGGCGCCACGGTCTCCCCAAGGTTATCATACTTGACCTCACAGCCCAGTGAGATCTTCCTGGGGGAAGATCTTATCATTGCCATGAGACAAAGGAGGGAAAGTTCAGAAGGATGGAGGGATTTGTATAGTCACATCAAATGAGTGGCAGAGCTGGGAGTAAACTTCGGCACTGGGACTTCCAAGCTCACCACACGACTATTAAATCATTGCAGGAGACCCACGCGCGTAAGTAGATAATAATAACACTGGTTCTGTGCTCAATAATTCACTAGAATGATCTCATTCAACTCTGGTAACACCTTGGTGAGAAAAGGAAATCAATGTCTCTGCTTTGCAGACACTGAGGCTGAGAGAGGTTTCCCAAAGTCACAAATAGCTTGTCAGTGATGTGGGCAGGTTCCAACCCTGGTGTGTAAAAGATTCCAGTGGAGGGCCCAAAGAGAGCTCCAGAGCTAGCCCTGAAGTGGAGGATGGCTGCCTTCTTCCAGAGGCGGAGCTAGCTTCTACTTCCAGCCTCAGTGAGCCTGAGACAGGACTGGGTTGGTGACAGAGGGAACAAGTATAATTGGCCTCGCTTTCATCAAGTCTACAGGCTTATCTTTCTCACATGATTTCCTCCAGGCTCTTATCAGTCTCAACTATGGTGTCAACATGTTCACTTAAGTTGTTGTATGGGATCACTTGAAAGGACATTCCACAGGCCAGGCCAGAAGTAAGCCCTGGCTTTCCTTCTTCTGGCTGAGTGAGCTTCCATCTCTACCTTCCTCCCTGAAGGCTCTGAGCACCATCACCGAACCGTGCACTTTAGCTTCTAACCATTCACAAGCCCAGGAAAGCAAGGTCCATGTCAGCATGATTGTACCACATTCCAGGAGTCCAGTGCAGTGCCTGGCCCATAGCAGGCCCATAGCAGTGCGCATGTGTCACATAAATGAACTACTCACTCATTCAATTCAGCCACCATGAACTGGGTACCTATTATGTCCTGGTGCGGGTGATTCAGAGGTAAATGTAATAAGTGCCACCTACAGTAAGTCTCAGTCCAGGCTAAGAGCAGAATAGCCATCGGTATCACCTTAAATACTTCCTAAAATAATGTGCAGAATGAATGGATGACAACTCAGGGTGACGGTGGAGGAAGGAGCCAAGCTCAGCTGGGAACACAGGAAAAAAGAACCACTCGATTTGCCTGCGGAGTTACGGAAGACTTTGCTGGAAGAGGATGAGACGTGATTTCAACCTTACACGATGTAGGATTTGCATTAAAGACATTCAGGAAAGGAGGCTTGCAAGCAGAGGGATCAGTCTGAGCAAAGGCACAACGATGTAAAATATTGCTTGGGGACAGAGCAAAGTATGTGTAGGGCAAATGACAAAAGACGACACTTAGAGATCAGGCAACAGGTGTATTTCCCAGGGGATGCGAGTGGGTTATCTCACAGAGGAACTGAAACACATTTAATCATGAGTTGAAGAAAGAAAGAGTTCCTGACGTTAACATTATAACAGGCTCATTCTAATAGATTGATTTAGATTCATTCTCAAGTAGAGACAAAATGGCATCAGTCATCTCAGTAAACACATTTCCAAACGCATCGAGGGAAATCGAGGGCCCAGGTGTAGAGCTTTTCCAGTCTGAGCCTGGATTGGTAGCCTTAAAGCCTTAAAGGAGCAGGGGTACCAGCCAGCATTTCATCACCCCATGGTCAAGTGCCTGAAACGTCTCCTGGCACAGGGGGCAGAACTTTCCAGTTCCTTGTCACAGGACACGGTTCTGGCCAGGTTACTGCCTCTCCGCCGTTCCCAGAATGGGGAACAAGGGGCTTGGCTGGCTCCTTGGGGCTGCATAACCAGGCGAGGGGCTGCCTGCACTCTGGCTCTCTGCGACTCCGCCAGGGGTTCAAAGTTCGGGAGTGAAAGGCCCCAGGCTTCCGCTGGTTCGCCTACTCCTTCTAGTTCCTATCCCAGTTCTCAGTGCATTTGCTGCCCAGGTTTGGGAATTTTCAGGCGCGGAGGGAAAGTACCTAGGGACAAGTTTTGGAAAGAGGAGAACGGCGCCGGGTCAGCGGCCTGGAGAGCTGGGAAAGAAAGGCAGTGTCCGAGAGGGCGCGGGAAGGGCGGGGTGGAGAGGGCGGTGAAGCCCGTGTTACTTTGCCTGAGGCTGCAGACTGGAGCCCAGGAAACAGCGCGACTGGGAAGACGAGCGAGCGGGACAACCAGCCGGGGCGCGGGGGGAGGGGAGGCGCTAGGGAGCCGGCTCTGCGGCCTCCGGAGGGTGTGTGTGTGTGTGCCTGACAGTGCATGCGTGTGTGTGTGTGTGTGTGTGAGAGAGAGAGCGAGCGAGCGAGCGAGCCTGTGTGTGTGTGTGTGTGTGTGTGTGTGCGCGCGCGCGCGTGTGTGTGTGCGCGCGCGTCTGGCGCCTGGCCAGGGTGATTTCCCATAAACCACATGCCCCACGAGCCGCCCGCTTAAAAGGCTGTGCCGAGCGCTGGCCAGCGAAGCTCGGCCAGTGGAAAGTGAAAGTTTACCCGGGTCCTCTCGGTGCCGCCGCGGCGCTCTCTGCAGTCCGGGACAGCGGCGCGGCCCTCGGCCTGGGCGCGGACTTCGCAGCAGCCAGCGAGCGAGCGAGCGCGCCATCCAGGGCGGCCGACGCGCCCGCCCAGCACCCGGCTGCCCCTATGACCACGCGGGGCGCCACCCGGCGCTGCCCTCCCATGGTAAGCGGTCGCGCGGCGCGGGCCGGGGACGGGTGGCTGGAGGCGCGGTGGCGGGCTGCCAGGCGTCGCCCCTCGGAGCCGACCTCCCGGGCTCTCCAGCGAACCAAGCGTTCCCGCCGCGGCCTCAGGCCCGGCTCCCTAACTGCCTGTGCGCATCCGCTCGCGGCGCTCGGGCGGCTGGATCGCAGCCTTGCAGCTGCTCCTGGGCTGTGGCGCTGCCCTGGGAAAGGAAAGGCAGCTCACCCCCATTGCACGGAGGGGAACACTGAGCCACCCACAGGCAGAAGATACGTGTTTGCAGACGAGGGCGGAGGCTTGGTCAGGATGCCCTGCCTGTTTCCAGGCAGAGAGTCTGAGCACTGCGTGCGGCACTGCGGTTCCCAGGGGCAGCTTTCTCCGACCAAGCACGTGCTTCCAGGCCCTGGTGGGTGCGGAGTGGGCTCTTCTGGCTGGGGAAAGTTCAGGGGTCATCCAGCTTTAGAATGCTAGGGGCTGCCCTGAGAGCAACCTGCTGGCAGAGCAAAGGAGGTGGGCAAGCCACCACTTGTTCCAACCCACAGGCAGGAGCTGCTGGGAACTTGGGTGGCTCTTTTAGGAAGACCTGGACCCGGGACTGCCCGGCTCGTGCTCTGAATCTCTTTCTTGTGCAAAGCCTTGTTCAGAAAGTTGTGAGATCTGAGCTTCGCATAGGAAAGTGGAAAGAGGGTTTGGGGTTGCAGAGCTGTGGCCAGGGGCTGCTCAGAGCCATTGAGGGGATGCCCTGCCCCAACAGTGGCGGCAGCTGCAGCTCCTAGAAAATCTGGGGTGACACTATAAATAAACAGCAAGTGGTCCCATAATGTGTTTACTTGTGAGGAGCTCTGAGAAACTGCAGAGTGCATCCACAGGGGAGGACATGCCCAACCCGGAGGCAGGAGACGGGCTTGGGAGGGAGGAGGTGAGGCAAAGAGAAGGGAGGAGATGAGAGCCGGAGAGAGAGGTGGAACCACGGGAGGAAGGAAAAGGGCCAGGGTCAGACGGGGGCAGCGGAGAGCCCGGTGACACAGGGTCTCTCCAGAGACCTCACTGAAGGAGAAGATAGATCATGATGGTGACAGGTGAGGGTGCACAGCTGTGCTGAGATGTCCCACATCTCTCCAAGCCTGCTGCGGAGGTTCCTTCCCAGGGCTGCTCCCACAGGCAAAGCTGAGGCTGATGGGTGGGAGGAAGGAGGAAACCAGGGAGAGCCTGCCCAGCCAGATGCAAGCGAGTGCCTTAACCCTTGGGTACCCATCTGGGCCCTCTTGCAGTAGCTCTGAGGCCCCGGGCCCAGGGTGGCCCCCTGTGGCCACCTTCAAAGTCAGCCTCCTACACGACGGCCACACTCTCCCACTGCTGATGCCTGAGATGCAGCCCAAAGTCAGGCAGCCCTTGGGTTAAGCACTGCCCTCACCTTGCTGTCAGCCGTCTGTATGTTAAAATGCACACACTGGAGTTGTCTTCCTGGGCATCGTCTTCCCCAGAGGCGTTTCCTCCGTACCTTTCACACCTGGGGCTCCGAGCCTCCCTGGTGTCCCACCTGTGGCAAAGTCATGGTGTAACTGCCTGTAATAGGTCCTGAGCCTGAAGAGTCTGAAGGCCTGAACAACCATTCTCATGCAGGGCTCCCACCCAGTGGTAGAGCCCAAAGTACCCTACAGTCATGACTATCCTCGCCTCCTCCGGTCCCCTCCCAGGTCAAGCCAGGGCCCTCACAGGCCTTGTGCTAAATGCATTGGGCCACCAAGTGTCACCTTCTGCCCGGGTGCCCCCTTCCTCTCCTGGTGCGCCCGTCCAGGTGCCCCCTTCTGTGCAGGTGAGCACTTCTGGTTGAAAATTTCAGAGGTCATCAGTTTTAGAATGCTAGGGCTTTCCTCTCCTGCTATCCACTTCTCCCTGAGTTTTAAGGCCTCATTATGTCCCTTATCCCTGTAGCCTCCCTGACAGCTCAGCCAGACCTGTCTTTGTGAGAACTGGCAAGCTTTGGGTTTGATATATAAATCAGCATATTGTTGTGAGCGGCTTCATGGTCCCCTATGTTTTATTTTTTTTTTCAATGTGCTACTTATTTGTGGTAGTTGTCCCATCATCTGAATTACTGGGACAAAGCCCGGAGCCCAGGAAAGTGCCAGCCCTCACCCCACCCTGCCAGCATTTCCCTGAATTTGGGACCATCAGCTGCCAGGAGGCTTAGGAGCTCCCAGGGGGCAACTTCTAGCAGGGAAGAAAAAGCCCAAGGGTCCCTCTGCCTCTGGGTAGACAAACCTTAAGATCAAGGATAGGGATGAGGGGACCTTGGGGAGGAGGAAGGAGGGAGAAGCAAAGAAAGGCAAAAACAGCGTCAGGAGCCAGTGCTATCACTCTGGGGCTGGGTGGCTGCTGAGTCAGGTAGGTGCTGAAAGGAGGGCGATTTCTCTACCAGGGTAAGAGCTGGTTAGCTGCACGCACAGCATGATGGGACTGATAGGTAAGTGCTAGCCAGAGATGGTCCAGTGCTGGTGCTACAGCCTCTGATTAATCAGTTTGGCTTCTTTTTGGAACATATCCGCAGAGTTCCAGAAGGTCTCTGGCATGGGATGAGTTCCTAATGAGACTGAGCTAGGTTCCCTGGCTCTTCCAGTGGCAGAGTCAGACCTGTGGAGAACCAGATGTGAGGAAGGGCTGAGCCTGGGGGAAATGTCTCTGGCTTGCTCTCTGGAAGCTGGTACATGAACTTGAGGGCAATTCGCCAGATGCTTGACTTAGTGTCAGCATTGCAGGGGTAGAATAATGAGTTGAAGCAGATCCTGTCCTTGAGGGGCTTCCTGTGCCATTAGAATTTAGACTAGTAGACACTCCAACTGTGTCATCACTAGACGTTTGATGTGTACCTGGCGTTTTTTCTGGATTCGTCTGGGAAGGCTCCTGAGAGAAGATTGTATTTGGATTGTTAAAAAGGGGAAACAAGATTGTGCCTTGGCTGATAGTAAATCCTGGGAAATCTGACTTTGAGGATGCTCTATTCTAGGGGGTGAATCAGAGCCTGTAGTGTTACAGGTCTGAGACCTCTGATTTCGGTCCTCAGTAGGGTATAGAGGTAGCTGGGGAAAGTGAAAGCTGGGGAGAAATGACATGTTCTCTGTCGCAGGCATGGCTGTGCCCCTGGCTGCTGCTGATCTTTCTCGTGGTGAGCAGGAGTATTGCTGAGGAGATATCGGAGCACTGTAGTCACATGATTGGGAATGGACACCTGCAGGTCCTGCAGCACCTAGTGAGTATGTGGCCATGCCTTCTCCTTCTGGGGAAACTGAGGCAGGAGCCAAGGAACAGGGTCAAAGAAGAGGGACTGCAGGAAAGAGGGCTACCTAGGCCATGCCTCCCCTGCTGCTCTTCTTACCGACCTTTCCTAAGGCCAAGACCTTAGGTCTCCAAGTCCTGAAGCCCTCCCTGACTCCCCTGAAGGCTGAGTATGGTGGCAGGCTGCCCAAGTCAGTGATTGCCCCAGAGCATGCGCTGTGCATTCTAAGCGGCCTCCTAAGGACTGCTTTGGCTCAGGGAATGACTGCCTCCTTTGGAAGATAGCCCCATCTGCCTGCTGGTCCAGATGTTGTATGTAGCTCCTGGACTCCCAGATGTGCCGCCAGCCTGGCACCAGGGCCCCACCCAGATTCGGAGGGGAAGCCCCTGCCTAACTACCAAGCCTCCGCCCTTACTTCCCTGGCTCTTGCCCCTGAGGCTGGAAAAGCCAGCTCATCTGGGCCGTGAAGTAGCCCTTATCTTTGAAATCGTCAGCAATCCCAAACATGGTCCATCCAGGCAGTATCAGGGTATTTTCATGGCTTCTGTTCTGCCCAGAAGAGAATTTACCATCCCACTGGCCAGCCAGGCAGAGTGGGGCACCGCTGGCTAAGGCCAGCCCCAGGCCCCTGAACTTGGGACCATAGGCTGGGCCTTCCATTGTCTTACCCCTCCACCACTCCTCCTGCCTGTAACTCCTGCAGCTATGCAAGGCAGACCTAAGGCCATGGCTTTCTCTAAGGCTTAGAATATAAAACTCCTGCTCTGGGAGTCCAATGGAGGCTTTAAGGGCATCTATCCCTGGCCCCTATAGATACTGAATTCCCAGAGCGTGGCAGCCTTTGCTTGAATTTCTGCCATGACCAGGTTCTCACTCAAAAAAGATTGTATCCTATACTGTCCTATATATTTCTTATATATTCTTCCTTATAACAAACTGGCACCTGCAATTTCATGGAGGGTGCGGTAGGAGGAAAAGACTTTTTGCTTTTCTATAGCCTTTCTCTAGGCATATGAAAGGCACAGTCCTTCCCCCACAGCCTTGACTCCCTCTTTCAGGTGTGGCTAGGGTAGGGAGGAGCCAGATGAAATTCAAACCTTGGTCCACCCAGAAACTATGGTGCCTGGGGCCATGAAGGAGCCCATATCTCAGTTTAATGGGGCCAACAAAACCATCAACAATTCTGAGGCCAGCTTAGTTGAGCTATAGATACCCTGCGACTACTGGCTTGCTCTCTCTTACAGATTGACAGTCAGATGGAGACCTCGTGCCATATTGCCTTTGAGTTTGCAGATGAGGAACAGTTGGTGAGTGGCAGCTATTTGCTATGTCAACCTGTGTCCCTGTGTCAACTTCTGTGCTTCTCCCAGGGATGGGGGCATGCGGGAACGTAGAGGCAGCAGAAACCCTAGAGCAGAAACCCTAGATACCTGGGGGCTCAAGCCTGGGGTGCCAGCAGTCAGGGCTGAGCAAGATCCAAGGCTCAGGTTCTCTGCTCTTCCCTTCTGGCTGGTGCATAAAAGAGCTTACTGTGTACCCAGCACTTTTCCAAGTTAGGCCTAACAGTAGCACTAGGTTGTCCACGTTCATTGCTTATGTCCACACAGAGGTTAAAGGAGCATAGCTAGGAAGTGGCTGAAACCCGATTAGAACTCAGAACTCATATACCCTTATATGCTTGAGAAAACCATGTCACCACCATTCTCCAGTCAGTCAGCAGTATGGAAGTGATCCAGCCCACCTTCCTAACCCATACTTAGCCAGCTACCATATGGGGCTGATTCTGCTCCCAATCTCTCTAGGCTCTGCCCTGCCTCCCCAATCAGTCACTGGGAAAATTTTAGGAGCTTCTCTGGCCTGAGTCACACACACACACACACACACACACACACACACACACACACACCCATCCACTAGGGGGAGCTTTGTGAAACCTTAACCTGCTGCCTTCACTTGCCTCCCCAAAGCGCCTCAGGGCCTCCATCCCTCCAGGAGAAAGCTCAGGCTGTGTCGGGTGTCTCTGTACACAGCCCATACCCATCCCTTTGTCCATCCCTCTTCCCCGTTCCTTCCTGCCTCTGAGCCCTTGCTGATGCCTGTCTCCCCCATAGAGATAAGTCCATCCCCGATACCATGCCTCTTCATCTTTGTGCCTCTGGAAGAACAGCCATGCTGCCCCAAAAAGGCTTCCATCTCTAAGTTCCCACATACCAAATCTGCATAAACCACTGTGAAAACTGAAGACCAGCTCACAGTCCAGAGAACAGCCTCAGTATTTCCTTCATTCACTCCCTGTCTCACTCAGGGCATTACTAGAAATCCACTGGACCAGGTGCAAGAAACAGAGCTAAAATAGTTTGTGTCTACAAAGCAACTGCCTTCGTGGCAGGGAGACAAAACACTGAGGGTACTCTTTGGACCATGGAATAGTCTTCAGTAGCCCTGTTTCCTGGAGGATTTGAAAGTCCCACAAGGCAAAGGACTTCTGTGAAAGCAAGCTGAAAGGAAGCGGGGGTAGGGGTCTGAACCCTACCCTCAGTATGCACATCCATCCTGATTAAAGTCTTGCATTCCAAAATTCGGAAAAAGCTTTCTGTTATGGTTTATGTCTGTGTGTCCCCTCCAAAGCCTCATGCGACCATGGGGCAGGCTATTAGAGCTGAATGATTGTGGGTGTGAGAGCTACACCCGCCCTGGGGTGGATAGTTTGCATATGTAAGGGAGAGGAAAAGAGTGCTTGAGGACATTCCTCGCCCATTCCGCCCTGGTGTGTGCTTGCAGTTTAGCTGTGTCTGCCGCCCTGAGTGCTAGCTCTTTGCCATGTGCCACTCTGCCTTATAATCTGCCAAGTACGGACTGAAACTTCCACGAACTGTAAGCGAAATAAACCTTTCCTTCCTTCATTTTGGGCATCAGATATTTTGTCCCAGCAGCGAGAAAAAAGTAACCAAGACACTTTCTAATCATAATCTGTGTTTCCTTCAATTTAGCTTAATCCCCAGAGCGCTAGGTCCCAAGAGAGAATGAAAGACAACTTGAAGGCGGCATACCTGATACTTGATGCATACCTCAGGGGTGAGAGGAGACCAGGCTGCAGTCCTCCATGTACCTAGGGTGGCAGGCATCTAGCACAAAGCTTTGGTCCCGGGCTCCATCTGCCAGGCCATAAACTCTTGGTTCCTGCTTTTCAGAAAGACCCTGTGTGCTATCTTAAGAAGGCATTTCTCCTGGTGGAAGACATAATGGAGGACACCATGCGCTTCAGAGATGAAACTCCCAACGCCAGGGCCATCGTCCAGCTCCAGACACTCTCTGTGAGACTGAAGAGCTGCTTCACCAAGGATTATGAAAAGCAGGACAAGGTAAGAGGGTCCCGGACCTGGAGCATTGAGTAGACTGAAAGGTGGCTATGGAGGGACTAGCCCTTGCCACGTGCTCATTGTACGTTCACTCACCTCCCCTCATGCCATCACTCGCTCTCTCACTCTTCATTCCTTCATTCATCTACTCTGCAAACCTTTGGATAGGACTTGCTAGACAGGAGGCACAGGGCTGGGCAGGGGTGATATCCCCAGAGCAAGAAATTCCCGGTTCTCACCCTTGTGGAACTTAGGGTCAAGTGGGGGTGGGCAGCTGTTAAACGATGGCACACTACAAAGCAGCAAGATTGTTTGTTCATTTAGCACATCATTACTGAGTGCCCATTGTGTACAAGGTACTGTCCTTGTACCCGGAAACAGCTGTGATCAAAATACAGAAATCCCCACAATTATGGCAATTACATTTGGGGATGGGTGGGACAGATAGTAAAACACACAAATAAAATATGTGGATGGAGGATGGTGATAACTGCTTTAAAGAGAGGGAAGGGAGACCTCCAGGAGGGGAGAGAGTGAGCCACAGGCTCTGAGAGAGCAACAGGGAACTCTAAATTGAGAATGCAGAGAGACAAAGAAGACTTCAAGTGAGAACTAGTAACTGGGATTCCAAAGATGAGTAAGTTAGAAAGCATAAGGCTGGAAGAACATTCCAGAACAGGGAATGCCGTGCACAAACAATGCTATGCAATGCTGCACTCCGCAGGAAGGTACATATTCAGAGACCCAAAGGTGGTTAATACAGCCAATGCATGGGAAGTGAAGGGAGGGAGAAAAGAAGGAAGGAATCAGAGCATCTGGGCTATCAAAAAATGTGTGATTTTTTTGTCTTCATTATGAGGAAAGCCATTGTGGACTGGCAAGCAACCTAATCTCACTTACGCTGTAAGACTTCTCTGGTTGCTGTGTGGAGAATGGACTCCAGGGAACAGGAATGGAGGCTGGGAGCCTCGAGTCCAGGCCAGAGATGGTGGCAGCTTGGATCAGGATGGTTCGGTGAAGGCAGAAGTGAGCAGATGTGTCCCAATGTGCTGGGTGCAGACCTGACTTAGTACACGCAGAGGAGGTGAGGGGCAGAGGGAAGGGAAAAGTCAGGCTGGTTATATCCTGAGCACCTTTATATTTCAATAATGCTAAAATGGCAATGGGCAGAGAAAGTCTGAGAGAAGAACTGAATTCGGTTTTGGGCACATCAGAGCTGAGATGCTAGTGAAATGGCCAAGTAGAGACACTGAGCAGACAGCTGGAGGTGTGGGTCCTGAGTATGGCAAGCAACACGGACATAAGACTCACAGCATGAAGGTTGTCTGTGAGCTATATGGCGTTGCTCCTAGTAAGGGGAGAAATAGGTCCAGGAATCCCAGCATTCAAAGATCAAGCAGAGGAGAGTTGCCCGGTAAGGAGTGGCTTGCAAAGGAGAAGCAGGAGAAGGTTGTGTCTCTGGGTGTCAAGATGAGGGATCAGCCAAGCAAGATAAGAGCTGAAGAGCATCTGTAGGGTTTGGCAACACAATGGTCACTGTTCAGAGGCAGACTGGAGTGCACAGAAAAAAGACGTGGAGACAACAGCGTGCAGAAACTTGGTTCTAAAAGATAGCAGCAGAGATGTGGCTGGAGGGAGCGTGGGGTCTAGGGAGAAAAAAAAAATTCTTCAATAAGAGATATTAAATCTGGGTGCCTTAATTCTAACATTCAGGTACCTGAGAATCACTGGGGAGCTGGTTTAAAATGTCGAATCCCAGCACAGACTCCCGGAGACTCTGCTTCACTGGGTCCAAGAGTGGGTCCAGGAACCCACATTTTAAGAACCTGTGCCACCCCTGATTGAGAGAAAAGGTTCTTGGGCTCCTTTGGGTAGACACTCATTCGCCCACAGAACAGCCAGTGAATGCCGAGGGCGGGCCCAGCAGGGAGGCGGCCTTTCAAACCAGAGGAGCTGGCCCAGTGTGGGTCCAGGCAGGGGTTCAGAGCTCCCGGGCAGGGAGGGCATATCCTCTGCTGAGACAGGTTGGGTGTCGGGGCTTCTGGCTGAAAACCCTGATTTCCCTTGAGAAGCATGAGGTGAGGTGTGAGGGAGACTGGTTTGTAGAGAGAGAAGCAAGGAAGAAGCAGCAAGCTCGACTTCCCTCTAGCACTCTGGGGAGAAGCTTGATAGGGTGCTGTTCTGACTCCACACACGAGGAAATGAGCCCAAGCTGGACAGTGTGGTGGACTGTTGTCACCTAGCTGCGGAGTGGTGTAGCGAGGCCGGGTTATCCCGTTCATACATTTATCTGGTAAACATTACAAGCCTACTATGTGCAGTCCAGAGGGATGCAGAGGTGTCCTCAAGGACTGCACAGCCTAGGAAAGCCCGTAGTTCCTCCCTGTGTGTCCCAGTTTAAGGAAAAGCTTGGTGCCTGGGAGCTGCTGGCAAGCAGGGCGTCAATGAAGTTATGGGCGTGCATGCTTTGACGTGGTGTGCAAGTAGAGGTGGGACCAGGGCTGAGCCCTGAGGAATTCCAGCCCTAGAAGTTAGGAGCGTGCAAAGGACAGTGAAGCAGCAGCAGGAGAGGTGGAAGAGAATCCAAGAGGGTGAAGCTTCTCAGCCCCAGTGGGTGTGGGAGCTTGGTCTTAGAGCAGAAGAGAAGAGAGCCTCAGCAGACAGGCTGGGACATCCTCAGCCCATCCTCCAAAACGCACCCATGCCCACACCATAAAGGACCCTCTTCACACCATAACAAGATGATATTTCTAAATCTAAGTCTCAGTATCTACTGCCCACCTCCCTGAAAATCTTTTGGAGTTTCCCTTTTTCTATGGATAAAATGAACAGTTTTTGACGTGTTGAACAAGGCCCTATAAGACAAGGATCTGGCTGAATTCCTTCCAGTTGTGTCTCTTGCCACTTTCCCCTAGATTGCAGTGCTGCAGCCATGCCAACCCTCTGACAACGTGGGACATTTCATGCACTTTTCTGCCTCAGGACCTTTGCACACTCTGTTCTATCAGGGTGGTTTTTTCCCAACCCTGCCTCTTCTCCTGATTAATTTTTCTTCCATCTTTTGTTTGGTCCCTTGGGGAAGTTCTCCTTGAACCCTCATTTAGTTCTCTTTTGTTATACACCTTTATATTGCTCAGCATTTTCTCATAAAACTCCCTGCAGATATAACAATTTATTTAGTGCCAATGGCCTGCTGGACTTAGTGTCCAGCCCAGCCAGGAACTGTATCTGTCTTGTTCATTGTTCCATACCCAGTAATTAACTAGATGCCTGGCACATAAATATGTGTGGATATATCTGTGGATAAATGGCATCTCTCACAACCTCAGAACTGGTTCTGCTGCAAACCAGAGGAGAGGGGAGGACAGAGACAAAGGGGAAAGTGAAGACTGATGTGAGAAAGGCCAAGGGAATTTAACAAACATGATAGCTGCACGAAGCCAAGGGTCATGCTCACCGACGGGGTCCTGCTCTCCTTCCAGGCCTGTGTCCGAACTTTCTACGAGACTCCCCTCCAGCTGATGGAAAAGATCAAGAATGTCTTCAATGAAACAAAGAATCTCCTGGAAGAGGACTGGACGATTTTCACCAAGAACTGCAGTGACAGTTTTGCGAAGTGCTCCAGCCCAGGTAAGCACTGACGGGCCAGCAAATGGAAGGTGACACAAGGGGCTGGGAGGACCTGGCTGCTACATGTGTTTCTGTGTGTGTAGAAGTGCTTGTTTCATGTATATATGTGGCTTCATGTGCCTCGGGGCCTTTTCTGACGTGTGTGCATGCTGGGGCTGTGAGGTTAGGGAGCGGAGAGAGGTCCTCTCTGGGAAAGCAGTGTATGCATGGGGGGATCCACCCCCCACCGTCTCTAGCTCTGCAGACTGGCCAAACTTATGGGGACTCTGTGGAGAGAGCAGACACCCGTCTGGGAGTTTGGGCCCTTGCTCCGAGAGCCCTGCTGTGAATCACCAGGAAACCCTGGCTCCAGACGTCCCCAGGATGCCTTGGGTGTCCCCCCAAGGGACAAGGCTGGATTTCAAGTCTGAACATCATTCAAACTCTCCTGTTGTTGGCTCAGCTTCATCCTTTGTGCCCTATGTGTCCTCGTCTCAGCATCCTGTGCCATACGTCCTACTGCATTCGACCTTGCTCCCCGAGGCAGGGGCTGAGGCCCTGCAACTGGCCAAAGACCAAGTTCGGTCTCCCGGTTTCACTCCCCAAACCTCAAGCTTTGGTCATAGTCCACGCCAGCCTGTTCCTGCTGGTGGCTGTGGCTCCGTGGCCGTGCATGAAACCAGCGTCTGGGGCTTCTGTGTCTTGTGTTAGTCTGGGATGCCATGGCTCAGTGTCCTGGCTGCTGCGCCCCTCTGGCTTGTCCTCTGGCCAGCTGGAACACCAGTGCAAGTTATCCTCTGGTCTTCCTCACCCCGAACCCCAGTCTGTGCATCTGCGCCCCACTCTGCTCTCTGCCGTGACACCCTGTCCACTGTGCCTTCCCTGCCTGAGTCCTGTGTCGTGAGCATTTGCTGCAGTCTGTCCCCTCCTCCTCAGCCCCAGGGCTGAGTTAGGAGATGAGAAACTGCCAGCCCCGTATCCCCCTCTTGGCCCCCCCGGGGGAGCTGTGCTGCAGGCTGGTGACTCTATTTCCTCCTTGTCTTTCTCTCTCCCCCTCTCTGTGGTTCTTTCAGATGTGGTGACCAAGCCTGATTGCAACTGCCTGTACCCCAAAGCCACCCCTAGCAGTGACCTGGCCTCTGTCTCCCCTCACCAGCCCCTCACCCCCTCCAAGGTCCCTAAGGCTGGTTTGACCTGGGCTGATTCTGAGGGGACAGAGGGTAGGTCCCTCTCGCCCAGTGAGCAGCCCCTTCACACAGTGGACCCAGGCAATGCAAAGCATCGACCACCCAGGAGCACCTGCCAGAGCCTCAAGTCACCAGAGACCCCAAGCCTCGAGGACAGCCCCACTGGAGGTTCACCACAGCCTCACCCCTCTGCTGGGGCTCCCAGCTCTGGGATGGACATTGTTGACTCTGGACTGGACTCTACCTGGGCCTTAGAAGAGGCCTCTGGAGAGGCTAGTGAGGGTCCTGAACCTCAAGGAACAGAGTTTTCCCCCTCCAGGCCAGAAGGGGGCAGCATCCAGGTACAACTGGCCATTCCCAGCAACCTCCTCTCAGCATCTTCTCCACTCCCGACAACAGAGGACCAACAGCCACCATTGCCTAAGGTGGACCCTGCGAGACCCACTGGTCAGGTCAAGCATGGCACTCTTGAGAAGACAGACCATTCATCTAGCCTGCCCACAGAGGGTGAGAAGACAGGCTCTACCCAGACCTCATCACTCCAACCCCAAGGCCTCAGCAATCCCACCACACTTTCTGCTCAGCCACAACTTCATGGAAGCCACTCCTGGGGAATTGTGCTGCCCCTGGGGGAGCTGGAGGGCAAGAGGATCACCAGGAACCGAAGGAGCCCTGCAGAGCTGGAAGGAGGACAAGCAAGCGAGGGGGTAGCCAGGCCCCTGGCCCCTTTTAACTTCGTTCCTTTGACTGACACAGGCCATGAGAGGCAGCCTGAGAGAACCTCCAACCCCCAGATCCCTGGGTTCGTCTTCCACCTGCTGGTGCCCAGCATCATCCTGGTCTTGCTGGCCGTTGGTGGCCTGCTGTTCTACAGGCGGAGGCGGAGGGTAAGGAGATCCCAGGGAAGACAGGAGGGCACTCAGGGGCAGAGCTCAGGCTGTGTGCGAGTGCAAGTTGGAGGATAACCTGAGTTCTCCCTGGGCTCTTCAGATGCGGAGAGGTCGGGTCTGACCTAGCACAAAGGATGGGAAGTAGAAATGAAAGTCTGCTTCAAGAATCAGAAAGGTTCCAGCCAGGAAGTTAAGGGGAAGGGCCAAGCATAAGGAAGTGGGAGAGAAGATTCTTGGGCTAACAGCAGGAGGACAACTAGGCAGGAGGAGGAAAGAGGAGAGCAGTGCTGTACATGTGATCTCCGCAGCGCCTTGGAGTGACGACCCATAGGATGTGGCCTGCGTGGGAGGGGAGCAGGGGTGTCCTCAGCAAAGAGGCCTTGGGAATTTCCCCCATGCTCTGTATGATCCCAACTTTCGAGTATCTGGGGGGACTCTGATAACTTACTCATTAATGGCATGGAATGGGACCACCATCTCCCTACCTTCCCGCAACTTCTCAGCAAGCCTGCTTTTTCCTGTCCCCAGAGCCGTCAAGAGCCTCAGCCAATGGATTCTCTCATGAGGCATCCAGAGAGCAGGTGAGAGGTTGAATTGGAGGTCTGGCTTGGGCTCTTTTCCCTTCTAGCCTTGGGTAGGGGAGACTTCCCCCAACTGCTCCGAGAAAATGAAATTATAGAACAGAATGGAGGTGGGGAGGAGGAAGGGACTCTTTTCTTTCCTAGATAGCCGGGGTTTTTTTCTGATTTCTTCCTGGAGTTGGGCAGTTCTGGGTGTTCTAAATCTGAGAGGGCGGGAGCACATCCTGTCTGAGGGCTGTGGGTGAGCCTATGGGGGCCCTCACTCCTCTGCCTCTGCTGAAGTCTTATGCTAGCCCTGTGCTCTGCCTGCAGCTCCGTGACCCAGGATGAGGACAGACAGGTGGAACTGCCAGTATAGAGGAAATCCTAAGGTACGATTCTGATTGTGATCTCTCTATGCCCCTCACCTGTTGCTGAAATGCCCAACTCCCCTGAGGCCCAAACTTGCCTCCCTCCCCTCCATCCTGTTCTCTTTTCCATCCATCCACTTATCACCAAAGCCAACCAGATCTCTCCCTTTCAGGGCCTCAGGTCTCCCCTCACCCCTGCCTTCCCTGCAGCCGCCTGAGGTCACAGAGTGCTGCCTCTGCAGTGGGTTTCTAGTCTTGCTGTCACCTTTGATCCCAAGCAGCCAAAAGTCTCCTCTTTCAATGTGGTTTTTGAAAGATCTTTACCATCTTGGGGAATTTTCAACAGCTCTGTATGGCCACCAACTTCTAACCCGCCACTGGCTTCCAAGCTCCTCTAGCAGCCACCCTTAGCGTGCACCTCATGCCAAACTGTTCCACATTTGGCGAGGTCAGTTCTACCTTCCTGCCTTGGGAATCATGGCGCCATAGAATCTGAGTCTTCGGAGGGCTCTCAGAGGTCCTTTGGCCCTTTGACCACCTCAACAGGGCCAACAAGCCCTGAAACCCAGCATGGCGTCAGCCAGCTTCCTGACACATTGTCTAGTCCCTTTCAAGCTCTTTGGCTAGCCACAGCCTGTGCTTTCTTCCATTAACACAGAGAAAAGCCTTCCTCATAGGGGGCAAAACTGCCCTTCCTGTGCTTCCCTCAAGGCTCCTACTTGCTTTTCTCATGAAGCCCTCAGACATTTCATATCAGTCTTCTAGGTCCCCTTTAAGAGTTCTCTATGCTAAGCATGTCCAAGTCCCTCAAATATTCTTTATATGATATGGTTTCAGGCCCCTCACCATCCTGGACACACTCGTTTGTCAATATCCCTCTGAAAGTGTGGTACCCAGCCCTGGACACAGTACTCCAGATGCTGTCTGACCAGCTCAGGGTACAGTGAGACTGTACCTCCCTTGATCTGGACAGTACTCCTCTCATGTAGATTAGCTTTTAATAACTATGTCATATTGTTGACATGTATGGAGCTTGTGGTCTACTAAAAACCCTAATTCTCTTTCCCATGAACCTCTACCCAGACAACCTTCTCCATCCTGTACTTGGGTAGCTCAACTTTTTAAACTAAAGCACAGGAGTTTACACTCACCTTTGTTCAGAGCACCAGGTTGGCTTCTGCCCTCTCCCCCAGGCTACTGAAAATCCTTCCACTCTTCATTCTGTCATTTTTGTGGCCCTCTTGATTGTGTCCCCTGTATGTTGGTGAGCGCCTTCTGTTGGCCTTGCCCATGTTGCCAGTAAAGATGGGAACTGTGTTGCTCCTTCCCAAGCCCAGCTCATGATTGGCCCACCAGGAACCCTTCTTGACTGTCTCCCCAACCCTCTGGTTGCTCCTTGAATCCATAGCTCTCTGCTGTTTTGTATCTTGTTAATACTATATTGGTTTGCACCTATTTGGTTGCTGTTTTTATACATTTTTAACTCTGATTTTATGTGCATATGTACACTCTGCACTGCTAAGAAGATTGTAAGCCCCTTGAGGGCAGGGGCTGCTTTCCACTGTTTTTGCATTTCTTTTTCCATTCCAGGTTCTAGTTCAGAGAGGGTCTCTCCAAAAAATTCAATAAATGTTGACTGGCAGACTTCAGGGCTGGTTCACTGGCCAGCTATCTTAACTGACCAGTCTTCTGGGCGACTAATTAACCGTTTAGTTGACTCTGACTCAAGAGCTGGTTGGGTGGCAAACAAACTGACTAGCTGGTAACCGCCTCATTGTGTCACTGTTGATTGGTAAGCTGATTGGCTAAGTAAATAGCTGGCATGTTGCCTAGCTGATTTGCTGACTGGATATCTGGCTAAGTAGCTGGGTGACCCATTCAAGTTTCTAGTCATACCACTTACCGGATGTAAGCACCTTAGGGCCTTCCAGTGTGACAGGACCTCTCCTAGAGGGGATCTGGAAAAGGCTCGAAGCTAGGGGAACTAATCTGGAAAAATAGCACACAGATCTGGAATCCTGGGGTCCCTCTGTCAGGAGGGTGGGGGAGGAGGGAGAGTGGGTAAGCTGGAGCAGTGGCAGAGCTGTGAGAAGGACCCTGTGAGGTATGCAGAGGATGGAAATCCCTGGGGAGTTTGGCCTAGTGCCGTGCTGCCTCCCCCACAAAGCACCAGTTTTCCTTCTCCCACCACCTGTGGTCTTGGCCCTGCCCTGAACCCTCTACATTCCGTTCTCTTCTCCCTGCCTGCCTACTCTCAGGCCTGTTCAATCTTTCCTCTTTCTCCCCTCAAGATTTCACTTGGAGAGGGAACCAGGGCAAGGGCCACACTGAGGCCCACTTGGCTCGTTGGATCCAGTGGGTGGCCTACGGTGGTCCTCAGTCAGGCGCCAGCAGTCCAGGCTGCTGCTCTGATGAGGGAGACGAGAACAGGAAACTCAGAAGCACCTGTGAGAGGCACAGGCTACAGAGAACTCAGACACCAGCACCTCAGCCCCAGGGAACCTGGAGGTGGGAAAGCAGGCTGGAGCGAGCCCTCTTGGTCCTTCTTCCCTCCTGTGCCCTGGGAGGGCTGGTGGCCTGGCTATACCAGTATGGCTCATGTTCAGGTTATAGTTCCCCCTTCTTTCCCCTCCAAGCATGGGAATGGGCTGAGAGCCAGAGCTGTGGGTCCCGTCTTCCCTCCTCACCCTTCGCAGTCTTGACCAGTAGGGCCACAGAGACAAGGGAGGGAGGCGCCACACAGGGTCCAAAGTCAAACTGCTGGATGGAGTCCAGGGGATTTCTGCTCTGGGAACAAAGCGTCCTAAGGATGCTGGGCAAGGGGACAAGGCCGGGGGCGGGGTGGGGAGAGGGCAGGGCCCTGGCTCCCACGCATGATGCGAGAGGCAAGTCTCTCGGCCCATCTGGGTGGCTGAGTGGCTCAGGTGTAGCATACCGAAGGCAGGGGCAGACTTCCTTGTAGCAAAACTGTGTATCTCTGGCCTCTGCCACCTTTGCCTTAATATCATCTGCTAGGATACTTTCTGATGAAGGGTGTGAAGGTGGAAATGAAATTCTTCTTTGCTGGAAGTAGCAGGCATCACCATTGGTTCATCTGACACCCGAGCCCATCCTGCCTGAGGAGGGGTCTGCAAACACTGATGCAGCCTCACACTGCCCTCAGCCTCTCTGACTGGGCCGGGAACCCTCCCCCTTCTTGACCCCGACCTCCAGCAGACCCCATTACCTCCCCCTGTGGTCCCTGGTTCCCAGGAGGAAGTAGGAGGTGAGGCCAGTCTGTCCAGAGGCTTGGCTGACTGCCAGGCAAAGCCGCCTCTTCCCTCTGCGGTGTCTGGAGTGGCTGGGAGGGTGAGGGAAGGGATGGGAGGAAATCCTGCCTGCAGCACTGCCAGCAGCCCGCAGGAACGCCACTCCTCTCCAAGCCACGTCCTCACGACCCTCCGCACACTCCCACTCGGCTAACCAGCCCCCCCTTTGCTCCCCCACAGCTGGGCTCGCGGGACTGTCTCTCCATGGGAGAAGATGCGACGGGGCCGTCCACCACTACCCTCCCCAGATCTTCTCCTGGAAATGTGGCCTTCCTACCACCTGAGCCCCTGCCTGCCAGGACTGGACAGAGCAGCCAGGCTGGAGTTCCTACAACTTGACCCTCAGACTTTCAGAGGGCCAGAGGATGCCCCCACACTGCCGCTATTTATTGTGGGCCCTGGAGGCTCCGTGCGCTTGAGGAGGGCTGGCGAGCTGGCTCAGGACCTTCTCCCTCAGGGGCTGCACCCTCCGCTTCTTCCTCTCCATGCCAGTACCTGGGTCAGAGGCCCACTCGCCTGTGGCATGTGGGACACCAGGGTGGGTGCTGAGGAGCCACCTGGTGCCAAGAGATGCCATTGTTGACACGCAGGGACCTGTCTCCAGAGAGGAGTCTTTCATCAGGGTGGAGCAGCATCAGCCTGATTTCCTGTAAAGGCAAGCAGCCCAAAACATAGGAAAACAGAGGAGGCCTCTGGCTGTACGCACTGACAGCTTGAAGGGATCCACACCCTCTGCTCACCTGAGTGCCCTCCACTGGTGGCCAGGCGGTGAGGGGAGGCCAGCTCTGCCCTCAGGACCTGCCTACCCTGACTCATAATGCCAAGAGGAGGACCTAGCTCTGGCCTATACACCTCCTTCCCTCCAGCCCCTGCCAGAGCTTCTCCTAGAGGCCGGGCAAAAGCTCTCCTCGTGAAGGAAGCCATTGCACTGTGAAAACTGAACCTGCCTGCTGAAAAGCCTGCCCCATCCATCCCCACGAGCAAGCATCCGTCCAAACGCCCCCCAGTCTCTCCCCAGCTTCCTGCACTGAGCTGGCCTCATTCGTCGACTGAGGGAGCCCCTAAGCCCTAACCTTCTCCCGACCCAGCCTTTGACTCCTTGGGTGGAGCAGGTGGAAGAACTGCCCAGGCCACCAGCCAGAGCTGGTCTTTAGGCTGTGTGTTCACCCAGGTTTCTGCATCTTGCACTTTGACATTCCCAAGTGGAAAGTGACTAGTGGGAGGGAGAGAAAGTGAGGGCGGAGAGGCAGAGAGGTGCAGGGAGAGCTCTGAATGAGAGCAGGTTTGGAAATATGGGTATGCCCCTGAGACTGTGGGGACATCTGCACCCCAGCGCCTCAGTCCAGTCTACTTTGCCTGGTGCTAGCAGGCACCTGCAACTGAACAGGTTTTCCCCATCAGGAGCCCTGGAGCTGGGCTGCACCCCGGCCCTACCTACATGCTCCCCAGATCTCTTCTTTTGACCCTTCGTTTTCCTGACCCATGTAGGCAGTGACACCCTCCAACTCTCACCCCACCCCACCTCGGGCCAAGCAAGCCAGAGCTGGAGAGGACCTAGGAGATCCCGGCATCTGCGTCCAACTGTGCTCCGAGAATCTCTGCTTCCTGGTCTGGCCCTTGCCATGGCTCTGAGACCTGGGCAACAGGTGACAGGGCTGTCAACTGCCCCTCAGCCCCTTTATGCTGCTGTGTCCCTCCTTTCCTGCCATCCTGGGCTCTCCGCTGAGAGACCCTGTCCTCCCTGGTTGTGACCATCTCTTCCCTGCCAGAGAGAGTGAGGGTCTGCTGGCCCATGGCCCCATCCTGATGATGATAGCTGAGGGAGGGGCAGCCGGGAAGTTTTTATGGGGCTCGTCCTTCTAGTCACAGACTGCATATTCCATGCTAGGAAACATATATTTTTTAAATGGAAGGAAAGAAAACAGAAAAAAAAAGCATTCCTCTACACCCTTCAACTTTAAACGTATAGTATTTAAAAAATCAGAACAGCAAATTCAACCCATTGCAGAAGCTCTTTGTGGGCACTCAGTGACACCATAGTGGAAGGGGCTCCAGAGCCACCTCTGGGTGCCCCCCTTCTGGCTACCTGCACAGGATCCCTTACTTTCCTCTGAGAAAGCCCAGAGGGAACATTGGCTCACGAACTGTGAGAGTGTGTTTTTATACTTGGAAGTGGTGAATTATTTTATATAAGGTCATTTAAATATCTATTTAAAAAAATAGGAAGCTGCTTATATATTTAATAATAAAAGAAGTGCACAAGCTGCCATGTGTGAGTCATGGGAAAAGTTGCTTTTGGGGTGCGGGTGGCAAATATAGGGGTGGGCAGGCATCAGCCGCTGGGTGAGACCCAGCTCAGAAAGCTTTTTCTAAGGTACATGGGGTAGGAGAGCGCTCTCAAAGTTTCAGTCTTGTTACTAAAATCTCCTGTATTACTGGTGTCACAAACACATTCGTCTACGTATCTGTGTAATAAGAAATCAGGCAAAAAGCAGCCAAACCTCAGGCCTGGCCACTGGCCCCAGTTCCAGCCCAGTCTAGCCCAGCCTCGGAAAATGGCTGGTTGGGCTGTGTCCAAAGGCCCTAGGGGCCTGCAAGGAGGAGGTTTTGACCACTGAACTTTCTGGTCCATGGGAGAGGGACCCGCCAGGTACTCACAGGGTGCTGAGGTGAGTGAGTGCTGACTCCACCCCGGGAAAGAGACAAGGCTGGTGAGGGATGGAGCCTGCCCTCCAGGTGAGGGACTTTAGGGCCTGATCGTCACATTGGAAGTGGACGGGAGACCAAGGATGTGGCCCTCAATGGGGGAAAGGGCTGTTACCAGGGACCAGAACAACTGAAGTTCCACATGCCCCTAACACACACCTCAGGCAAAGCTGAGACAAGAGGAACCTCCCCATCCCTGAGATGTGGTGGACATGTGGTTGTCCTCAAAAATACTGATATCCAAGCCCTATCCTAGACCAAAATGCCTGGAAGGCAGGGACCAAGCATGGGAATTTGTAAGACATTTCAAGTGATTCAAATGGGATCCAGGGCTAGAAGCACCCAGAGCCACAGCATTGGATATGGCCTCTGTGCAAGTTTAAATGCATTCAAATGAAATAAAAGTAAGCATTCAGCTCCTCAGCTTCACTGGTCACATACGGCTGCCGGGCTGGTCAGCACGAAAATAAGATATTTGCATCACCGCAGAAGTTCGACTGGACAGCACTGCCCAGAAGGCTGGGTCCCAGCACTTATGGGACCAAGGATATAGAACCAGGACCAGCATTAAGTGTTCAGGGGTCTCAGTCAGCTTTTCCTGTGTGTTTGTTCTCCCTACCCTCCCCCATCACTGTTTCCCTTTCTGCCCAAAAGCTGCTCAGAAAGATTTGAAGAAATATTTTTCCTTCAAGCTCAGAAGGGTCTCCTGGGTCAGCCTCCCCAGCCTGACTCAGACCCCTAAGGGCCATCCAGGTTTAGCTCCTTCCTCCCCTGTGCTCTTCTAGGCTTAGCAACTGTTTTCCTGTCCATCTGTCCCATCAAGCCATAGACTGCGGTAGGAACTATGCTGTTCCTCTTCAGTGGTTGAGATTAAAGACCTGGTAACGCAAACTCTCACCAGATTTAATCAATGCCATCTCCTAGGACCCCTAGTGGTATTAAACAATGGAGTTAATACCCAATAACTACAATCAGTGACCAAGCAGGGGAAGTATTTTCAGCAGAGAGCTCTTGCTATCTTCTGATAGAAACAGGGCTTGGTTAGAACTCTACGCAGAGGCATGTGTGCATGGAAGATATATTTTCAAGCCTTTAAGCAAAACTTACAGGGAAACAAACCACAAAAGCAGAAAACTGTACCCCTTACCTGCCTTTCCAGAAGTCCCAGAAGTGCCAGAGACTCTCAGCAGCCCTTTTCTTGAGTTTGACCTGCTGTGGGTGCTGCTTAGGAAGCATGAGATGTCTAAAGAACTTTTCACTGGATTTAGAATGAGAACAAAGTCCTTGACTTTGATGTCTTATTGCCTAGCTATGTGACCTTGAGTAAGATGCTAACCTCTGAGACTCAATTTTCTCCTCCTCTGTAGAACTACTTTTAAAAATATGAACCAAATGTACTTAAACTGACATTCAAATAAAGTGATAAGCCCAAAAGCACTTTGTGGGCTCTAAAGGGCTGCAGTAAATAAAGTATGCTCCGATGCTGCCCCTGCCAGCTGGTCCTGCGTGCCCAGGCCAAATAGTTTCCTTCTAGGCACACAGTGGGGAGCGAGGTGCTTCCAGTTCCTGACTGACAGATGGCTCTGTGGAAGGTGGTGGAGCCTGAAGGGATGAGGGGCTTGATGTGCAGGGTCAGGAACTCCTGTTCGGAGTATATAAGCAGAAGGGCCAAGCCAAACCTCCAAACCCCTATCCGGCCAGAAGCAGGAAAGTGAATCAGAGGCAACCAGGAAGAAGCCTGAGGTTAACCTCGTGCAGACTGTGGGCCATGGCAAAGAAGAGGTTGATGAGTGCACTGGGGGCTGGGCAGGGCGTGGTGGTCATCCCACGACCCCTTGAGCAAGGCTCTAAAGTTATTCAAGGCTGGGGAGTGACTAGGCAGCTGTGGGGAACAGAGTTTCCCAGCCAGCACTCCTCCCCTGCCCCAGCGAGGTCCTTTCTGCCAGAGCAGCACTTTTGTCCCTTGGTTTTTCTTTTCAATTTCTCAAGGGGGGAGGTGTAAACAGGGTCTGCTGGCTTGGATGCTGGGACTGCCGAGGGAACAGGGTGGCCTGTGCCAGTGAAAGCCCCACAGCAAAGTGGCTGAACACAGAGAGGTTTACTCTCTCCCCCTGCAGACTGTAGCCTGATCTCCAGTCTGGAGCTAAAGGAAAGCTTGTAGGCTTACCCCCATAGGACTGTCTAGAGCCCACACTGACTCACCTCCAGAAGTGGGTGGCTGGGAGTCAGAAGTCCATCTCATCAATGGATGACAGCCGCTGTAACACCTCGAGCTCTGCAGGGACAGTGCTGGGGCAAGCAGGGGCTGGACGGGCTGCTCTGTGCCTCACGAAGGAAAAACAATTAATCATGGGCAAAGGATAGTCTATGAAGCTGAGGAGAAAATGTCATCACCTATATTTTTTTGTATAAACTTGCCATGAGGAGCACAAGAAGAAACACCTGGATGCTTCTGTCAACTTCCCAAAGTTTTCTAAGAAGTGCTCAGAAAGGTGGCATGCCATGTCTGTGAAAGAGAAATGAAAATCTGAAGACATGGCAAAGGCCAGCAAACAAAAGCTTAAACTCCTGATACAGAGGCAACAGCAAAGAAGTTCAAGGAACCTAAGGTACACAAGAAGCCTCTGTCAGCTTTCCTGTCCTGTCCCAGGGGTCACCCCAACTCAAAGGAGAGCACTCCTGCCTACCCATTGGTGATGTCACAAATAAATTGGGAGATGTGTGGAATAATATCGCTGCGAGTGACCGGCAGGCTTCAGAAGGCTGCTCAGATGAAGGAAAAATGCAGAGAAGATATTGCTGCATGCAGAGCTAACGGAAAGCCTGACACAGGGAAAAAAAAGGAGAGCTGAAAAACTCAAGAAAAAGAAGGAAAATGAGGAAGAAGAGGAGGAGAAGAATAAGAAGAAAAAGAAAAAGAAAAAGAAGAGGAAATAGATGATTCTACTAGGTGCAGTGGCTACTAGGAAGATGAACATAGGAGGAACACTTGAGCCCAGGAGTTCAAGGCCAACCTGGACCACATAGCAAGACCCCCATCCCAAGAAAAAGATTATGATATTTAAGTGTGTTCTAGCATAATTTTTTTATCATCTATAAAGCATGTAAACCACTCCACAACTTTCTCCTTTTAAAGAAAATCAGTTTAAATGTAAGGCTGTGTAAGATTTGTTTTTAAACAGTTCTGTATTCTTTTTTTGTATATTTAAAACACTACCAAATGTGTCTTTAGACAGCCCTGTCCGGGTGGTATTTTCAGTGGCCTCTGCCTTGCTTGTTACAGAATGAGGGTTGCAAATTGGTGTGGAAATTTAAAGCAGGTTATGTTGATACACAGCACCGATTAATTGTATATTGGGGATTGTCAGGGTTTTTTTCCCATTTTAAATTGGCTCTGATGTGGCTTATACAAAATAATTCTGTTAACAGAATATCAGTCTATAATTGCAAAAAAAGGACAAAGTTGCAGCTCTTTTGCTGACATTCTGAATGCTTTTAAGTAAATATTTAAATTTAAGAAAAAAGAAATAAGTCATTGGCTGGGGTGATGGAGGAGGCTGTGTCAGGAAAGTTGTCAGGTGAATCCCTGAAGGAAGGCTAGCTAAGAATCCTAAATTAGATTGCAGCTACTGTGGTCCACAGGCCACACACCTGCTCCGAGGCCCCGGACACCTGCTCCGATGCCCCGGACACCTGCTCCGAGGCCTCGGACACCTGCCCCTGCTGCTCCACCGTGGTCCCTTCATGCCTGTGTATTTAGTGCAGACTACAAGGCAGGAGCCTCACCCTCATTCATTCATTCATTCATTTTTCCCATTTCTAGACACTGAGGACAAAATGTAAGTAAAATAGTCAGTGAGAGAAGCAGGTATTAGTTAAGCAACCACACAAATAAGTGTCTAGTCATAAAATGTGAATGTAGCTAGAAGGATACAGGTACTGTGAGAGCTTATAATAGGGGACTTGAGCTAGGAATGTAGATCTAT